GTTGTTTCTTTTTCGTTTATTTATGTAAATATCTCTATATATACATATACATCATATATTCAGATATTATTGATTGCAATGATGTTGTTCAACGTGTTTCTGTGTTATATTATTCTATATACATATATATATTTTTTTCTTCTTTACTCTATTATTCTACTTGTGTTGTCGTGTGTTCCATTTTTGGAAAAAAAATAAACTGAGTATGGAAGGACACTTATCTTCAATAAACGTTACATTCAAAACACTGATGCTATTTCATTATCAAGATATAAGAAATATTATAAATATTTCACGCCAGGAAAATTATAAATTGTAAAACATGATATTAATTCAAATTGAGTCTAGAAAGAAGTTTCTTTCTATTTCTTAATATAATAGACAAATGATTAATGATTTGATGCACTTCACAATTGCACTGAATCCACATTTTTCCATTGATAATCATTGTCTGGCTTCTTTTTGACCTAAAAAAAATAGAATATTTTATTTATTTCATAAAATAATACAAAGTATAACACCATATTCTAAAGCACATGATATTGTCACGCAGTCATTTGTCGCGTGATATTTGTGCAGCTGTCGAAAGGTATGCATTAGAAACAGCAGTATTAACAGATGCATAGATTCTCAAAAACATTTTTTATATTATATAAACGCCAGCATCTCCTCATTCTACTTCAGGATAACATTACCGTCTACAATTCAAAATATAATACTATTACAATGCAAGTATCATTTGCTATTCTTGTCGCTCTGGTCTTGTTGGGTTCTATCTACTCAGCATCGATACCTACGCAGTTTGATCGTGATCTTATTCAAACTGAAGTTCAATTCTTGGCATCACTCACACCACAACAACGCAACATTTGGAATTCAATCAAAGACCAGTTGGTTCATGGCGCTATTAATACAGTTCTCAGTTCAGTCCTTGGTAAACGTAATGTTGATAATGCTGAAACTGAATTATTCTTGGAATCTCTTACACCACAACAACGTAACATTTGGAATTCAATCAAAGACCAGTTGGT